ACTCACACTGCATCCAGGATTTCAGGAGAAGCCATTTATTTGGCAGTCGATCCCAGGTGCACTGGTAGGGAAGTGGGCAAGTTACACAGGAAGAGAGGGTACTGGGTACAGGGGGTGATGGTGGGCAGGTGACTGCTGTGGGCCACTGGGCTTCACTCTCTCTGGGGACCTCTGGAGATAGTGTGGACTGTGCCTCAGAATGACCCTACTCCTGAGACTTAGGAGGCACTTGTCCTCTAGTTTCTGTTCATCATCGGTTGAAGGCTGCCCCTGGCGTCAAGTGTGCCATGTGTGTGGGCTGAGTGGAGTCCTCCGAGGAGGGTGGTGAGTGCGTGCAGGGGGTTGACTTGGGAACGTGCCTGGTGGGTGAGGGTAGATATGGATGTGGCACCAAGGCTGATATAGGAAAAATATAACTCCCAACCTGATAAATGTCAGATGTGCCGAGTTCGTGGTCTCACAACATTGAGGAAAGAAGTTGTGAAACAAGAGAGGAAGTTAGGAGAGTTTCATTGGAAATAAAAAGATGAACAGCCCCTGGATCTAGGAAGGGTCCTGAGTAGGAGGCCACCGAGGGCCTTTGTAATGGGTAATTTATACAGCAAAGTCACTGCATGGTTACAACATGGGTCAAACTACAATCAACTTGTAGGACCACAAGGACAGCTGTTTAGTTGATATTGATCCAATAGGGAAGGAGGCACATAGTAAGGGTACATGGTGAGCATCATTAACTCTAGCTTACCTATAACTTCTAACATGGAAAGCACAAAGGCATTATGGGGGGATGGGACGGGTCCAGATGTTCTGGACACCCACCTGGACATCTGATGCCTATCTGGACTTACTGGACCAGGTGGTACAAATTACAGTAGAACCTCAAGTTGCTCCTTAGGGAGCCCTGAAGTCCTAGCTATTGTGCCTCCATCCTTAGGCCTGACTTGTCAGATTCACCTTCAGTCACAATTCTGATGTCTTTATTACTTTGTGCTGACTTCTGTGAGGGCCCAAATCCCTGACTGTATATGAATTTCTGTCTAACTTAGCTGTCTATAATAAGGTGATTCTTGAGCTGGGCTTGCAGGATAAACTGCCGTCTTAAGATTCTTCTTTTCAGGCTTTTGATGCTCAAGCTAAGGCCAGCTCTGAGAAAGTCACTAATAGTTGTGCTAGCAAAGTGGCACAGAACATTTTCTCTCCCTTGTGTCAAGTTGGAAAACTCTGGGAAGGACTCTGATTGGCTGAATTTGGGTCATATGTTTGCCTTTGTGGTTGGGGAGGGGTATTATGATTGACAACCTCCACCTCCACTCACAGTTAGGGGAGGAGCAATTAGTGGTCCATCCGTAAAGGGGTATGCTCTTCCCATCAGGGAGATGTGGCCGGCCTGAGACCAGAGCTTTGTTTCTTTTATTTTGTGGGTGACAAAACTCAGAGGAGCTGCAGTCTGATGAAACAGTTTGCATGCCAAGGCAGAACAAGCCCTGCTACAGAACGATTGATTGGCTTGGAAACATAAACATGAAAAAGCCATCCAGATTTTATGTGTTCAGTTTATAGAGCAACATATGTGATAGAGGAGAAAATAATCCAAAGCCCAAATAGTTAAAAGTAGTTAAAATAGTTAAAAGCCATTTATGAATACACTTTAGCCTGCCTGCCCCTCAATGCAGTGTGACAGGGCCTCAGTTTAACCTCTACAAGCCTCAGTTTCCTCCTCTGTGAGAAATGGCAACAATGCCCACATGAGCTCACGTCACGGATTGTGAGCGGGGACTGGAATAAGGGGTGTGAAATACATGCCATGGCACGTTTTCAGTACATCGTTTTGGTTTTTTTTTTTTTGGTTTTTTTTTTTTTTGGTACCGGGGATTGAACTCGGGTCCTTGTGCTTTTGAGGCAGGCGGCGGAACCACTGAGCTAAATCCCCAGCCCCTTCAGTACATTGTTTTGATGGTGATGATGATACAGTGATTTCCTATGACCTGTCAGTGGGGTCCCTCCTGCTCAAATTGTTCTTCTGTGGCCACCTGGAGGCTAGCTGGGGCTTTCCACAGCTCTGCAGGAGTCTGCTAGCCACTAGCTCGCTGAGCACGTACCTCCCCTCCTCCTTGTCTAAGAAACAGAGAAGTTGCATTCCAGCCAGGCCTGGAGGGGGCAGATGCTCCAGCTGGGTGGGACAGCAGTTCAAGCCTGCGGGGGGCAAAACAATCTTGGAGGTATTTTTATTTTTAATTTTTTTTTTCAGTACTGGGGATTGAACTCAGGACCTTGCGCTTACCAGGCAGGTGCAGTGCCACTGAGCTAAATGCCCAGCCCCCATCGCGGGTAAAACAGTGGGGACCAGGGCCAGCTGTAGAGCCAGGGGGCAGCCTGGAGCGCTGGGTGCTGGGTGGGGGGAGCTGGGAAAGAGGGGACAGCCGCTGCATCCCCAGCCCCATCAGCCAGTGTGCCAGTGATTCGGCCCCATGGAGCTGCGGTGGGTTTTCCCTGGAAATGTGCCCAGGATGCTGGGGATCCGTTCTCATCTGCTCATTTTACTGCCGAACTGTAAAGTGATAAATGTCATTACCCTTCCGCTCCTTAAACAAGAAAAAAGTTAACAGCCTGAGAAAAGGAGATATTTCACTTCATTTGGCATCCAGCCACCATCATCCAAGCAGGGTGCTCCCTTGGGGTCTGATGAGGGACAAGGACAGGCACCGCTGTCTTTGCTGTCAGCTGCCAGGGAGGCTCCGTGCAGGTCCAGGCTGAGCTGGCAGTGTAGCCAGGCACCCTCTAAACAACTCCAGCACTGTAATGGGTGCTGTAACAGAAAGAGAGCACAGGCTGGGGATTTAGCTCAGTGGTTCTACCACTGACAAAAAAAGAGAGCACGGAGGCCAGAGGAGAGTACCTCGCTTAGAGTCACTGTGCTTATTAGGGTCTGTTTTGTCTGGCCCCAGGAGGTGAACTTGAATCGTGGACAGAAATTACAGAGAAGATTTCAACTCAAAGGACAGATTACGAAAACACAGGCCTGTGGGAAAAGGAATTGATTGTTTTATGAGGCAGTGCACTGTTTATTTGCCAGAGATCTGCAACTCTTAGGGCTTCCTTTCAGAGCACTCACTGGAGAGAGAAGTCCTGCTCTAGATGAGGCAGAGATGGGTAATGACCAAGGTTCTTTCCAACTCCGAAATCCTAGAAACCTGTAATGAAGGAATCTTACCCATCTTCATATCTGTAATACGCTTTGTTCACACCAGCTAGATGGGAGCTCCCGGCCACCTGAGGACCCCTGCTAGACCCAGAGAAGAGTGTGGTTCATCTTCATTGCCCCAGCCGTGCGGTCATGAGGGTTTCCACTCTGCCGTGCTCCTCCATAGAGCTCCTGTAGTGTCAGCTGCATGACAGTTGTCCTCGCAGTGGGCAGGGGTATCCTGGGGAGCTTGAAGCTGTCCTTAAAGACCACCCAGCCACTGGCTCCTGAGCAGTGGCTTGGTGAAGAGGGACAGGCAAGCACCAGATCCTGGGCCTCAGGGACAGCCACATTCTCTTTCTTCCCCTGCTTGAGGGTGGCTGGGGTGGAGGGATGGGGTAGCCAACACTGCCAGCTAAAGCATTCAAAAGCTCTGGGGGTCTTCTGAGGCCTAGAGGCTTCTAAGGCCTGCATAGGTGCACAGCATGTCCAGGCTTCGAACTCCCCAGAGGCAAGGACAAGGACTGTTTATTTCCTGCCATAGCCCACTACCTCTCCAGCTTAGCACTATGCTGGGCACTTGCCCAGCATGTGGCAAATATCTCTCGAGGTGACTGGAAGGACTGCAGTCCTCCTGGATTTGACAGAAGTGAACTTGGCAAGGAAGCATCACGGAAAGGCCTGAAAGCCCTGCACCATGGATCTGTGGGCAGGGTTTTGAACTTGACCTTGCACAATGCTTGCTCTTTGAATCTCAGTTTCCCAATCACAGAACTGAAGAATTGGTATGAGGCTGGATAGGAGGTAAAAGAAAACCCATGCTTTCTGGCTTTTTTTTTTTTTTGTACGGGGGATCAAACTCAGGACCTTGTGCTTGTGAGGCAAGCAGCAGCACCACTGAGCTAAATTCCCGGCCCACTGGCTGAGCTTTTGAACTCAAGGGTCCTCTGGGCTGCAGACCTGACCTAACCTTAGTCCTATGGACCTGGTAATGGAGTCACCTGTCTGGGACTGAGGTGCCAGGGTACTGCTTTGGGGTTACTCAGCTCAGCAACCAGAATGAAGCCTCCCTTGCATGCCAAGCTCAGGGCAGGGTTGGGGGAAGTCAGATGTGGTTCCTGCCGCAAAGAACCCAGAGTGGAGTGGGGGGTGTACAGGCAGACAGAGTGATGATCCAAGAAGGAAATGAGTGCAAACGCAGTGGAGCAAAATGCCCTAGAATCTCCATGAAGAAAAAGGAGGGACTAGTGAGAGGTGGGAAGGCTTCCTGGAGGAGCCTTTCATCTGAGCACTTGGGATAGAAATGACAGGGGGACAGAGCCAGCAAAGGAACCGAATGTCCAATGGCACAGAGGTATGGCGGCCTGGGAGCAGAGGTGGGTGGAGTTACAGGTGGGTCTGGTACTCACAGGGCACCGGAAGCCCATCTCTAGACAGAATGTGGTACAGCTACACACCTGCAGGGCTGTGCTCCAGAGGTAGCCCTGGCTCTTCTCATTCTTACCCATGACCCTGCCTGGTGTCTCAGTGCCCTCGTCTGTGAAATGAGGATTATGATGCCTACCCTTCAGGGCTGTGGAGAGAATTCAGTAAGAGTGCACGTGTAAAGTCCAGGAGATGGGGTTTCTTATTTCTCTTTGGCTTTTGGTTAACGTGCAAACTGGACAGAAATTAGAATGGTGGTTTTTTAACTACTCATGATCAGTGTGAATGAGATTATCAGAGAGAAAGCTTATGAAAAAGGTTATGACAGGAAAGGGGTGGTGAAAGAAGAAATGCATGACCTTGGGGACAGGAAAGGCTAGGACGGAAACTGGGCTAAGGACGAACTTCACCAGCTTTATTTCAAGGGGTTTGGGAGGCTTTTCAGAGCAAGTTGACAGGAATGAGGCCTGCTGGAAAATGCGTGGTCAGGTGGGAGAGGCCTGAGCACCCAGGTATGAGTAAGGGCCCACCCCCAGCCCGCTCACTGGGCGACCGGGCCCTCTGTCCTAGCCAAGGCGCAACAGAGTGTGGCTCCTGAGAATCCAGTGACAGACACTTGGGCACAAGGACTAGAAAACCGCCACAACTGAGGCAGCGCTATTCTGTTTATCTCAGCAGACTCGCAGTCATCTTAATTCTGTCCCTCAGCTGGCAGTTTTCTAGTGGCCTCGTGCCGGCTCCCAGAGTCCTTTGCCATCTGGAATCAGGTCCTTCTGCCACTGCGGGCATTTGGAACTGCCAGAGTTTCATGGTCCCCATTCACAATTCCTGAAAAAGACTCTGATTGGCTCCGCCTACAAGCCAATGGCAGGGCGGGCCCAATCACCTGGGGGCGGGGCGGGGCCTCAGTGGGCCCCGGGCTCAGACGGAGAACGCCCTGTGGCCTCGCAGTTTCCCAGCACCGTAGCCCTGGCGCTCCATGGTCTCGAAAAGCAGCCGGACCAGCGCCAGCCGTCCTTGGGCCACCAAGGCGCGGGCCAGCCCCAGCACCTCGTCCATGTGGCCGCGCCACACGCGCTGCAGCTCCTGGCGCAGGCTGGCCGCGGGGTATTTGCCCTGGGCGCGGCGCAGCCAGGCATCCACCTCGCGGCCCAGCTCGCCGTCGCTCAGCTGTGCCTGGCTCCACTGCGCCAGCAGTGCCTCGAGCAGGCAGCCGAAGCCCTCGGGGCGGTTGGAGCCCGCGTCGTCCAGCTCCACGGCGCGCTTGAAGCAGGCCGCCGCGTTGGCGTCCTCGCCCTTGATGCGCAGGCATTTGCCGCGCAGCAGCTGCAGCTCGGGCAGCGCGGCGCCCAGCTCCGACTCTCCGGCCTTGGCCAGGAAGACCAGCGCCTGGTTGAGCGCCGCCTCGTCCACCGCCAGCAGCTCCTGCACGGCGTCCACGCCCATGTAGTAGTAGACCTGGTGTGTGGGGAGGGGGATGGCGCGGGCTGAGATTCCTTCCAAATCGCCGCCCCTGTCATTAGTCCCCAAGCCTGCATCATTCATGCGGCCACCCACCTCCTGTGCAGGATTAACTGCACGTTGTTTCTGGCCCCTGCAAAGAGACAGTATCGGAATTCGAGGTCCAGCGTCTCCACTCCTAGCCATACAACCTCGAGGGGGTCTATTTCTGCCCCTCGGTGTCCGCATATGTAAATTAGAATTTGCCATTTCTTGGTGACCCCTGCCTGAGCACAGGCGGCACTTCTGGATAGAATACAGCTCTTTACTTACCAAGTGCTCAGAGCGCCTGGCCTCCTCTATGCTCCACACACTGCGGCAATTCCTTCCCGCCCCCAGAGGCTGGGGGACTGCACCCCATTCCTGTCAGGGCCCTTAGTGGCCCACCTCAGCCTGACAGGTGGTCAATGCGTTCTTGGTGTGCCCTCTGACAACCAGGCCAAGCGGCTGCTTACCTGGCCAATGTCCAGGTAGGTCCTGAGGCCCGGGCACACCCTGACCACTTGCTCGAGATCAGCCTTGGCTTGGGCCAGGTGGCTCCGGTCGGGCATGCCTCCAAGGCCTGCCTTGGCCCGCTCCAGGTCGTGCAGGTAGGCTGTGGTGTGGATCTGTGACAGAGGACAGGCTCAGGCAAGTCCCTCCAGGCAAGGCCTCCGCCTCCGTCCTGGCCTAACCCAAGCCAATTTATTCCTCAGCAGCAAACTGGGACAGAGAGTGACACAACAGAAACTCTCGCCTTCATGGCACTTGTACTTTAGTGGGAAGAGAGCCAGTAAATGTGACAGATAGGTCAACAGTATGTTAGGGAGTGACTGGTATTAAGAATAACAGGAAAGAACAGAAAGCACTGGCAGGGGATTGATGATATTGGCAGTAAAACAGTGGTCTCTAGAGGCTGCCTTTTTTTTTTTTTGAGACAAAATCTTGCTTGCCTCAAATTTGTGATCTTCCTGCCTCCTGACCAGCTGGGATGACAAGCATATGCCACATGGCCCAGGTCAGAAGCCGCCTTTTTTGGTCAGCCCTGTAGGAAGTTAGAGAGGAGGCGAATCAGAGATCCCTGGGTGAGGAACATTGTGGGTTGAGGTGGCGCTGGGAGAGAGAGTGAGAGGTGAGCAGAGGAGCGGGTGGAGAGTCATATGTGCACATCTTCCTCCTCTATTCCTCCTCCTCTGACCATGTAAGGAGTGAGTCCGACCTCTGAGCCACAGGAGAGAGTAAGGCCAGGGTTGCTGCTACCTGAATGCAAGACCCTGTGGAAGTTTGCTACCTCCCTGTGCCTCAGTGACAGACTAGAACATGTCTGGCTGCTTCAAGGGACTTTTGTGAGGTTTACAGCAGACCGTGCATGAGCCAGAGAGGTTTCGGAGAAATGCAGAGTTCCATATATGTTTTATGGTTTACTAGTATGATTAATATCTTTATCATAAAGATCACCACCTCAGCGATAGTAAAGGAATTTCCTGCTTGATATATACTGGCAAAATAATTAAGCCACTGAGACTAAGAATGGGAGCAGACATCAGCCAAATAGGCGTTCTCAGGGTGTGCACGATGCTGAGTTTTACACACACAATCCCATAACTCTCCTAACAACTCCAACGAGGCAGGGACAATCACTCCCAGTCCACAGATAAAGAAACAGAGGCTTTGACTTTGATCGAGAGCACTTTGTGAGGTCCCCTAACAGGCAGGGATGGCGTGGGGTTTGAACAGAGGCTGCCTGGGGCAGCCCAGAGCTCAGTGCAGTGCTGCCTTTGTCACAGCACCTCCCTCCCACACCTAGGCGCCGACTTCAGTGTGACCTCAGGCAACCTCTGACACCGCCTAAAGTAGGTGTGATTAGCCACCTCTTACAGATTGTGGAACTGAGGTTGGAGGGATAGGTGGCCTCCAACAGCTCTAGGCAATAGGTAGAGAGGCCAGATCTCAACTGTGGTCAATCTGACTCCACCGGGCTAAGCCAGAATCTCCTGGCGGCTCCAGCCAGGCGCTGAGTTAGAGACCCCTGCAGTGGGAAGGGCACTTGCATTTCTGTGCGCCCCGATAAGCCCTCTGCTCCCTCCCACCATGAAGGCTCCAGGGTCTTGGCCCTGGTCCTTTCTTCTGGTATCAGGGGCGCTGCAGGGAGACCCACCTTGGCCCTGGTACAGTACGCCTGCCAGTTGAGCTCTGGGTCTCCTAGGACATCCAGGGCCATGTTACAGGTTCCAATGGCCATGTCTTGCTTTCCTAGGAAGTGGAAGATTTTGGCCAGGCGGTTGAGGATGGGAGGTTGGTCCTTGGCAATCTCAATGGCCTAGGGAAGGGAAGGGAAGGGAGGGGGTGGGAGCATACTATGTGTCTGCTCACTCTCACGATGGGACCCAGTGCCTTGGGGCGAATGCCCTGGCACTCAGCTCCTGAGAGCCCAACTTACCACCACGGTCACAGTCATGGCCAGCAGACCTTTCTAGGCCCTGTGACCCTCCTGTCAGTTCAAGCCCCCAACTTTGCCTGGCACAGGTGAGGGAAGGGTCTACCCCTTCCATGCTTACAGGGCCTCTAGCAGGGCTGCAGTACTTCCTCCATATGGGACCCACTGCTGCCTGTTCTAAGTGATTTGCCTTAGGGTCACACAGCTGTGGGCAGAGCTGGCAGTGAGGCCCCAGCCACACCCACCTTCTGTCCACTGTGACCTGGGGTGGGGAGAAGAGGGTGGGACAATGTGCACACAGGCCTCAGGGGGCCGGCCGATCAGTGTGGGGAGGGTCTTGGTGTTAGGCAAAGAGGAAGAACCACAAGAAGAGCTTCTGAATGAGGAGCAGGTGGAGAGAGAGGGCTGGAGTCAGTGTCCTTCCTGGGCGGGCCTCTCAGTGAGGGAGGACACCAGTCTTCAGAGTGGGGGTGCTCAGGGACACATACCTTGCCAAAGCAGTCCAAGGGGTCGGTCCCCGAGTACCCGCAGTCGTGGACTCCCATGGGGGTGGTGGAGAAGGTGTCCTTCCTCTCCAGCAGCATCCCGACATAGCACCAGGCCAGGGCTGGGAGAGGGGTGGGAGGAGCCCAAGGATGGATGGGCCAGCTCCACTCAGCATCAGCCCCCACGAAGACCAGGCAGGGACAGCAGCGTGAAACCACAGACAACCCAGGGACAGGGAGTGACAAAGTAGGGGCAGGGCACAAGCATGGGAGAGAAGGGACACATCCAGGGCTCATTCTCTGTCTACTAGGCCTCCTGGGGCCTCATTTCAGGGGCACAGCTATCCTCATGGTGCTAGTCCCTGTCTAGCTATCTGGCCTTGGAGGAAATGGCTCAACTCCTCTCCAGCAGAGCAAGCCGCAGGACACCTGGGTGAACAGCTGAGGAAAGACAGAGGGTGTGAGAGAAAGGCACGAACAGAAAAGGGAGGCAGTGCCAGAGGTAGCAGGGCTAGTGACAGGTAAAGGGACAGCGGGCAGAAGCCATGCTACCAGCCCTGCTCTGGGGCCTCTACCTCGCTGGCAGGCATCGGAGGCCTTGAGGACTTGCCGGAGCAGAGCCAGTGTGCGGTTGAAGGCGGGCAGCCTCTTCTGCTCCTCACTGCCCAGCTCCAGGAAGATGCCATCCAGCCTGTGTCAGGAGGGGGCCATGGCCTCAGCCCCTCCCCTCCCCTGGGAGCCCCCGCCTGCCGGGCCACACCTGTCCCCACCACCCTGGGCCCAGCCACCCACAGGCCTGACCTGATGAAGAGTGTTGCCATGGTGAAGTACCAGCCCCTTTTCTCCTCCATGGGGATCTAGGGAAGCAGAGAGCAGCAGGCTGCTGTTATGGAGGTGCTCTGGACGTTGTTCAGGAGTACCATGGTTTCCCTGAACCCCGAGAGGCAGCAGGGTCAGGGGGAGAAGGCTTTGGCCTCAAAAACCCTGGCTATAGGCCCAGCTCTGCCCATGTCTGCCTGGGCATCTTTGGGCAAGTTACTGGGCTCCCCTGACCACAGAGGATCTGGGAGCCCCAGAAATTCGCAGGGAACAGGTGCGGGCCACCTTTCCTCCCCTGCACACAGGCTCTGCTCCCCAGCCTGGCCACATGCTCCACGGGTCACCTTTGCTCTCCAACACCACCACCTCTCTGCCCTTCCCAAGCAAGGCCCTCTGGGCACATTGAGTGAGCCCAGCTCTGCCGAAGCCTGGGCCCCCTGAACCGTTTTCCCATTATTATTCTTGCCAACCTTGCTGTGCATTTAGACCGACTTGGGTAGCAGATAAAATATTTATGCTGTTATTTATGGGAGTAGCTACTCCTGCCTCAGGAAGGAATTTTAATGAAAACCAATAAAACCCCCAGTGCATATCGACAGCTCTGCCTCAAGCTCCAGCCCTCCCCTCCACCTTCATCTCTCCGATCAGCTGCAAGCCCCAACCCCACACCGCTCCACCCACCCCTGCGGCAACCACCTCAGCCAGTTCCTGAGCCCCTCTGTGCCTGGCCCTGGGGGTGGCTGACAAGGAGGCTTTGAGAGGAGCTTGCCTGCTGGCTGGGAAACAGACCCAGCCATCAATCCCCCCATTTGACAGTGTTGGACACCCAGCACCTGGACCTCACAATAAAATGAACATAAGGGAGCCCGAGGCAGAGCCCAGAGTCCAAGTGCCTGGTCCGGGTCACCCAGCTTGAGCATAAGAGCAGAAATTGAATACTGCTCAGCTCCAAAGCTCGTGTTCCCTTCATTACGCCAGGCTGCCAAAAACTAGTAAGAGGCAAAGTCTGCCCAATGTCACAGGAGTGAAGCAGGCCCAGAGTAAGCAGGACGGACAGGCCAGTCCCAGCCAGGGGGGTGGGTTTCAGGTGGATCTTGAGCAAGCACAGGTACTGTACAGGCTGGGCTAGAGACCAGGGCATCCCGGATAGAGGCTTGATACGAGCAGAGGCCTGGGGACATGGGAACAGCAGCCTGGTGGGCACAAAGCATAGCATGTGGGAATGGGGTGGTGGTGGGGGAGCCAATGCTGGCCAGGGAGACCCTGGGTGGACCTAGAGGGAGGGGCCTTGTGTGACAGATCTACTGAGTGCTCCAACTGCCCAAGAGGCCCTGCTGGCTGCATTTCGCCACAGCCCGTTCCTCCCAGAATCTCCAGTGTGGCCCTGGGCTGGGCAGTGAGGACAGGAGAGGAAAGGTGGGCCCCCTCTTGAGGGGCCTTGGTCTGGCAGGAAAGACAGACCCAAGACACACAGAGGAGCAGTCTGGAAATTTCCAATCCGGATGTCCTCCAAGGCATCCCAGCAGAGGAGGCGCCAGAGCAGGATGCTCAAGGATGAGCAGGGACCACCCAGCTGGACTTGGATCTACGTCACCCCCTCTCTGGGCCACACTGGCCAAGGACCTTGACATGATGTTGAGACCTGGGCCTCCTGCTGTCAGTGACCCAAGACTTTCTGGTGCAGCCTGCTTTGCGGCTGGGTACACAGTCACGGCAGGGAGGAGGAGGAACTCCCACCCACCCCTGCTCCTGACAAGGCGGAGGCCTCAGCGGGAACAAGTGGAGTGCAGAGGTGGGCGGCCCTGGGCACGAGGTGCCCCCTTAGCCCCAGAGGAGGAGACACCAGGCTATCGGGATCTCTTGAGCGCAGGGCCTGGCCCTGGGGAAGCTGAGCAGGCTCAGGGCTGTCCAGGCGGCTGCTTTGTCCACTGCGACCTGCTTCAGTGCCCCAGGCACAGTGTCTCACCTCACCCCTGCTCCGCTCTCCAGGACCAAAGGTCCCTGTGGGGTCCCAGGTGCCTTTCTTTTCCCACAGGAGCAATGTGCCATCCTTGGGGCTCCTGGTTCAGAGCTACCCCCTTGTTTCGTATTCTGCCCAACAGAAACTAAATTGGGTGCCCAAACCACACAGTTAGTGCATGACAGGTGGGACTTAAGCTTGTGCCTCTGTGGTCCTTGCTGCAAGGTTTCTTGCCTACAACACGCAGTTAGCTCATCAACCCCTGAATTATGTGACTGAGGACAATGAGACCAGACAGGTGACTTACACAAAGTCCCACATTAGTTGGCATCAGGGTTTACCTTTGACCCAGTGGTCCCTCAACCTCTCTGTTCAGAGTCCACATCCTTGAGTAGCAGAACATGAGAGCTTTTCACTGAGCAGGCAATATCGCCACCTGGTGGCAGTATGCTAAATTGCAGGGGCAATTCCTTCACCTCAACTCAAAAGACTCAAGTCTCATTTAAAAAAAAAAAAAAAAAAAGGGCCAATGTAGTGGTGCCTGTGATCCCAGCACTCTGGGAAGCTGAGGCAGGAGGATGGCAAGTTCGAACCAGCCTGAGTAACTTAGCAATTTAGTGAGATAGTGTCTCAAAAGAAAGCAAGAAAGAAAAAGAAAGGGCTGGGGATGCAGCTCAGTGCAGAAGCCCTGGGTTCAATCCACGGTGCTGGGGAGGAAAAAGAAGCTAGTGCCATCAGAGTTCCAAACCTGGTCCCTCCACAGTCCCTCAGAGAGCGATGTCGGCAGCTGGGGCTAGCGTGTGTGGTGTGGTGTCAATGGGGTGAGCAGATGGATTTGGAGGCCTCAGCGTGCTGGGTTTTAATCTTCCATTCCTGCCTGACGTGAAGCTGGCGGAGGCTTTCACTCTGAGGGCAACCTGGCCTGAAAACAGGCTGTCTTTAAAGTCCTTCCGGTTCTCAGAGGCAGCAGCTGAAGCTGTTACCAGGGGCAACCCAGCAAGTCCGCCCCCTGCGGGGGGCTTTACATTACACAGGCCTCTGCTGCCCTCCCTCCCTCTCTCCATCCTGGAGAATGAAGTTGCCATGAAACCTGGGCGGGTCTGGGGGGCCTGGACACTACCATACGTGGAGGCTCACATCTCGGGGACCGCTGCCCAACTCTGGGCAGGTCACCCAGCACCTTCTCCCCCCGCCATAGGCCCGCAGCGTGGTCTCGGGTCTGTGGGCGGGGCTGGCAGGTGATGTTGGGGAGGGACCCAGGCGAGGCCATGCTGACTTTCCAGGGAAACCTGTATCCTGGTCCTGGCTGCAGGTGAGTGTGAGGGGCAGATCCAGGGAGGGGCTCAGAGCAGACCCCAGTTCTCTGAGGCCCTGGCCCTTCCCGTCATTTCACAGATGGGGAAACTGAGGCAGAAAGAAGCAGAAACTCGCCTACTTGACCTGACATTTCAGGCCAGGTCTGTTTGGCTTAAGTCCTGTTCTTCCCATAACATGTGCGTACAAAGAACTAGTGTGTGTTCAGTGTCACCATTTACATGATCTTTTGTGGCCTGCAAAATGAGTGTCATTATCCTTTTAATACAGATGGGGAAACTGAGGCACTATCAAGTCCTCAAAGCCACTGGGACTGAAACCTGGGCATGGTGCTCTTGTTGCTATGCTAATAATAGCAAAAAAATATTTTTTTTTGGAGACAAGGTCTCACTATGCAGTTCAGGCTGTCCTTGAACTTGGTATGTTGCCCAGGCTGGCTTTGAACTCACAGTAATCCTCCTGCCTCAGCCTCCTGAGTGCTGGGATAACAGATGTGCACCAACATGCATGCCAATAATAGCAAATTTTATTGAGCACTTACTATGCACTAGGTACATCATTTATAAGTTTTGACCTGCTAGACCCTCAAGGGCTACCTTATGAGGTAGGGACTATTGTCATCTGATTTTACAGAGGAGGCAGCTCTGGCACATATGGTCAGGTGGTTTCCAGAGTGACACAGGTGGAAGGAAACAGACCTTGAACCCAGCAACCAGCTCCAGGGTCCCAGAACCTAACTACCTGAGATTAGTGGTGCTCAAAGTGTGGGCCTCTACCACAGCCTGGGGCTCACTTGGGAATTTGATAGAAATATGGATTCCTCAGGAGACTGAGCCAGAGACCCAGCCGGAGACTGGGCCAGTGAGGACCCCTGGGCTCGCCCACCAGCCTCCACCTTGGCTGTGCAGGTGCCTGCAACAACAGGCACCCCACCCGCCCCACCCCACCTCTTGGCTGTACAGCTACTTGGATCCACACTACAGAGGCACAGGGGAGCATGAAGACCATTGTCCTGAGCTGCAGAAGTGAACAACAGAGAGAGGGCCTCTCTTAGGCTCCCTGATGAAAACTGAAGCCCAATGGAAAAGTGAGGAGAATCTCTGCAATAAAGGCATACCAGACCACCGTGCTTGGTAAGTTGGAGGGATCATCACCTCCCATTGGAACCTGGACTATCTTCAGGGGAAAGGCAGCTGGAACCTGTACTAGAACCTTGCAGAGTTCAACCCTGAAGGAGGACAGGGAGCTCCACTTGGGACTTGCAGCCAGAAATCTGCCTGAATCTCATCAGTCTGTGACTGGTTACTGAGACTCACTGACTTATAACTGCACACTGTTGCCCACATTGTCTATTGTGACAGCAGAGACATGCCCTGAAGGAGGCCCTTCATTTTTATCTTTTATTGTTATTTTCAAAATTACCACTGTTTTTTTGCTCTTATTTTTAATTTTTTTCTTCTTTACTACTCTTAAAATTTTTTTCTTTTTTCTTTCTTTTCTCTTTCCTTTCTCTCTCTCACACTCACTCTCTTGCTGTCCCACATTGTTCTTCATCTCCCTTTGTGTTCCTGTTCTGCCTCTAATTCATATTTCTTCTTTATCTTTCTTTTCTTCTCTTTCCTTCTCTCACCTGTGTCCTCTGGCCTTACTGCTAACCTTCCCCTATCCTTCTACTTACCTATTCCTTCCTCCCCAACTCCTTCTAACTCCCCATCCTTAAGGGTAAAGTTGCTATATTGAAGAGTTTATTCACAATAAACATAT